GAGTTTCCAAAGACTCAAACGTCTATGGAAACGGCGGGATATCAGCATGACAGTGACAGCTAAGGTGTAAAACGCTGCGGTAAGGCCTGTCTTACCGTATGCATCAGAGACCTGGCCAGTTCGCGACAAATACATTAAACACTTGGCCGTGTTTGACCACCGGTGCTTGCGATGCATTGCTCACATTTAGTGGGCACACCGGGTTAGCAATGCTGAGGCTCGCTAGTTGGTTTTTGGCAAGAAGCATTCTGGTGCCTCACTGGAGTGTTTGCTGAATCTTAATCGCCTACGTTGGCTAGGCCATGTCCTACGTATGCCTGTTGACCGGCTTCCTCGGCGTGCATTGTACGCCGTGGCTGCACCAAGTTGGGTGAAACCGCGAAGTGGCCAGTCCATGACGTGGCGTACTGAAATAAAGAAATCAACTGAGAGACTTGATCTGGCTGCTGCTTGCCGTTTTACTATATGGAGGCCGTATCGTACTGTATCAGACATGGCACAGTCACGCAGTCTGTGGCGTACCTGCATTTGCTTTCTTACAATTGGTTGCTAATTTTGCTTCCATTCTGCTTTGTTTAACGCACTTTTTCTCGCTTTAATTTTCTTTACATTCTATTTGCCTTGCCGTTGTTATTCCTTGTTATTCTTGCAATATGAGTCGTGGGAACTGGCTCCACCAAACGACTGTGCTCAGGTCCTGGTTGATCAACTGAAACTGAATTGAACTTTTCACGAGTCAACTTTGTCCGTACGTTCATTCCCAAATGAAGCTTTCCAGCGCTTATATCACGAGCCAAAGGTGAGAACGGATCTAGTAATGAAACTGAGCTAGAAGCTACAGTAGCATTGCTTGGGGATACCAAGCTGTTACTTGTTTTTGGAACTGTTGGTTGCAGTTAGAGGGACTGAACATGAGTTTGAATAAGTCGCAATTGTGATTGCTCGAGTTGCGCTTGTTGTTGCTGGAGGTTTGTTTTCAAATTAGCTGAAAACGACATGATTGAATCGGTTACAGAATTCGTTCGCCAGTGTTCTTTTTGTCCTTCAATCAACCACTGTCAGAACATCGAAGATGAGAAGACCATCACGGACTGATGGGCGATAAATCTCCGGGTGGGAACGTTCGGAGAGATCGAACGTAGTACGGTGGAAACGAAGGAGCATCACGGTTTATGGTAAGGTTAGTGAAGAGCTGAAATGGAGGAAAATATACTTTTGGTGGATAAACATAGAAATTAAGAAGGCGGATGAATTCGTTTGGAGGCATTTCTCCTAACACGTCTTCTGACTGAATAAGCACGCGCATTGGACACCTTGGGGCCTTGATTTGCGCTGGGGTTCGATACTGCGATCAGTGACCTTCACTCAGTTGTCCGAACTACCGTGTCTAACCTGTCTCGCACCCCTTGGGAGCCGGTGTTCGATTTTTCTGTTTATGTGCCTTTGGTTTGGTGAGTTGCCAAATGTAAACCCATTGCATCCCGCACCCGTCCTTCTTACTACACTGCTTCAGGGAGGTGAAGTCAGGTATGGTTCCTTTAGTTAGTGGCAAGTCAACTCTTCTGCGTCGCATTGTTTTTAAACGGATATTCATGGTCTTTTTCTGTAGATTGCTTGACATTTGAAAAGCCATCACTTTCAGGAACATTGCCGCCTAAGCACTCAACTGGCACAGCGAAAAACTAGAATAGAAAGCCAGTGAAAATGGGCTAAAGGGGTTCGGAAAGTTTAGGAGGCAGTTGCAGT